AACAAGTGCGGAAAATGAATTTTTCCGCACGAGTTTTTTAATTCGTGGTCTAACGGCATCAACGGTTTTTGATCCATATTCTCTTAAGTATTCTTTAGTCTGTTCTAACATAACACATATATTTGATAATATTGCCTCTGAATCTTGCATGATTTTACTGACTATATTGATTTTGCCTGATACATTGTGCCAGATAATATCGAACAAATAAACTTGAACAATTTATTCTTTGAAATTAATGAACTCGCCATATTTCTTGATTCGGCATCTCTTGTATTATCGGAATACTCGTTTATTTTTTCTAAATTATATCTAAGAAATTTTATAGCATCTGCTCTTTTTTTCCACCTAGTATCAGAAAGGCGTTTTAATGTCAGGCTAGGAACTTCGTTTTTGAAAAATTGCCACCGTTTAGTAGACGACGAAGAGAAAACGTACAACTCTTGGACGATTGTGAAAAAACTTGATATTTCTAAAAATACTTTTGCGGCATTATTGACAACTAAATTTAAGCTATGTCAGCACAAGGCACAAAAAAATCACGAGGATTGGTGTTCAATTTTTATTTATTTTTTTGCAGCTTGTTGTTTCGCCCTTTCATGTTTGCACCGGAACATAGCAGATGATTTAGCAATACATACTACAATTAGTACAGCTAATGAGGGTCAGCCTTCACACCAAAATTCTCAAGAACAAGCTGCAGATGACTCAAGGACACATACTAATGGTAAGGTTATTTAGCGAAATTACAAAAAATGTATATCAAGTGAAAAGTATGTACCAAGATTACATGATTGACCATTTTATTTTGTTTTAGAAAAATTCCAGTGAAGTCACGCCAGTACTCTTTCATTAATTGACCAATTTAAGGAAGTCTATCACAAATTCCGTGATCCAAAAATTAAAAAAAAAAAGCCTGTGGGAGAAACTTTCCGAGACGATGCAGCAGCGAGGATATGCAGTCGAGCCAGAAATGTGGGACAAAAAAATTCGAAACATGAAAAAAACATACAGACCAATTCTCGACAATAATGACACGTTGGTTAAAATTTTTCATCTTCATTTTTACGTTTTTATGACAATAAAAGACAATATCATTATAAATTTCTAATGGCCCTTATTCCCACAGATGGCCCTTAATCAAAATAGTCTTTAGATAAACATTGTAGATCAAATAATGTTGCACATCTTTTATTAGATTTTTTTGTTTGTTTGTAAAATCAATAGGTACCAAGTAATCGCCAATGGCGCATTTTCAACTCCTATAGCGCAAAACTCCAGAGGGGTGAATGTATGATATCTTCGGTTTTATGATCACCCACCCGCCCCCTATCATTCCTGAAAAATTCATTTGGGTAGGATTTTTTTTTTGAAAACCGACAATTTTCCTCACTGATAGCATACAGTTTCAAGAGCATAAAAAGTGGAATTTATAAAAAAAGCAAAAATTTCCGAAACCGAGAAACACTTTGAATAGGCAAAAAAGGCTATTTGCCTATAATCAGAGCTTTATTCATGACTATTATGCATTTTGGAAATTGAAAAAAAAAGGAGAAAATAGGTACCTATAAAAAACTATTGATGAATTTCTGTTTATGTTTTAGATTGAAGAAGACGGAGATACCTCTGCTTTTTCTCCTGGAGAAACAGGAGAAACGAGGCCCCAGTCCACTGATCACCACCAGCCTAGTACCAGTTCAAAGGCTGTCCAAGCCCAAACACCAGCGAGACGACTTTCAGCGTTTTCGACGTTGAGGTCAAGCTCAGGTGCGCCAAAAGACAAACGAAAAAGGAAGACGACTGGAGAATAACCACCCATATTGGATCAAGTATCCTGTGCTCTATCGAGCATAAGCAAGAAGCTTGGAGAGAATCACACTAAAGAAAAAAGAATTGAAAAATCTAGCAACCAGATTTTTGGAGAGTACGTGGCTGCCAAAATGGACCAGCTCACAGATGAAGACATTAGGGATGATCTGGAGGAAAACATTATCCAGCTCCTAAACAGTGCATTGAGGGCATGCAGGATAGATCGTTGATGTTTTGGAAAACTTATGTGATATTTAAATAATTGAAAAAAATACAATTTACACTTTTTGGATTTTTTAGTACTGTATTTACTAATCCCAACCCTAAATTACATTACATTTTATTCCAAACATTTGATAGTCCATGGGAATGGTTCATTTTACCTTGCATGAAATGAGATATTTCTCTTTTTTAGTACAATTTCCAAGAACTATGGATCTCTGTATTATGATTAACACAAATATCAACTTGAAAAAGTCAAAGGAGATTTTTGAGATTTATTGCTTTCAAATTAGAAATAAGGTACCTATGATTCTATTAACTACAATAATCTCTAAAAACTTAAAAATATCCAGACTCTAGAGCAAAGAAGAGACCAACATGATTTGTTTATTCTATATAAATTGATTAATAACATCATCGATTCACCTGAACTTTTATCATTTAATAGGTTTAAACACTCCTTATAGTAAGATTAAAGATAATAGGCTATTTTATATTAAAAATCACCGTACTAATGGTTTTTATTCTCCTTTAACTAGATTTTGTAGACTGGTCAATTCTGTGATAAATAATATTAATATAGATATTTTTTACAGTAGCTTAATAAAAGCTTTTAAATCTTAAATAAAATCCATCTGGTCATATTTTCTTTTTATATTGCAAGCTAGCTTCTATTCTGTTATTCTGTTTTACTATTTCATTTTTTATTTGTTTATGATAGTTAAACCACTGGGGTTGTAAGTGTTAATTTTTTTAGAATAAATTTTGTATTTAGGTTTATTCATTTATTCGCATGAAAGCATTAATCATCTCCTAATCATATACCTACTGTTGGGGTTACATAAATAAGTTTGTAGACTGTAATTTTATTCTTTATTCACTTTATAAATAATATTCGATAGCAATCACTACTCACTACTTACGATACAATAAATGGAAACAGTAAGCTCTGGCCTCGTACGGCATTAAACTCAGAACCTTATATTAGGAAATTTAAATGAAATACTTAAATGAAATTAGAAAAAGCTTGTGTGAGGATTGTGAGGAAAAAAAACCCGGCTCTCTAAAAAAGCAATTCAGGTTATGTGTTGTTTGTTTGTATTGTAATTGTTGGGACCCTCGGAATACACTGTATTCTTTTCAAGTAAAAAACACTTTCAAATAACTTAGGATTTTATTTATTTGAATTAATTAAACTGAGTTACAAAAAAATAGGTGAAAATAAGGAATATTAAATGGACAGTACTTTAGTCTTGGATTTTAGTCTCAAGAGTGATTAGTTATATTGTTGAGTCAAGAGTGAATGCTTCTGAATGCAAAAGGAGCAATTTATATTGTCAACCTGCGTCATTAGGAACAAAGGAAAATGCGTTAAAACTGATTACGCGCTAGCCTCCTAGACCTGATAAGATTTCGTAAAAGATAGCAGATGTTTGACCTAGATTATTATCGTTATCAATAGTTGAATGACGCAAATTACAGTAATTAATAGATTTCGGAACAGAATATGGAAAAATACAAGAATGATTAAATATAGATTTAATAATATAAGATGTTAACAATATAAAGGTAGTTATGTAGGGGTATAACAATCCATCCCCCTTAAGTGTTTTGCTAGAGGTTTAATGCCTTTGGAAAACACAGTAGCAATAAGTGTTAAGACTAATCTATAAATATAATTTATTGGTTAGTTAAATTAAATGAAGTGTGAAAGTTTATGATAAGGATTTCGAACAGAGTAAGTTAATTAAATGAGTCCTAATATTATTATTTATGGTGTTGACCTGACCTTTTCCAAAAAGAAGGAGAATAGTTAAGATTTGATGGGAAGAGGATTTTTTTTTTTTCAATTCTATTTTAACTTTTGGAAAGAAAGAACAGAGAAAAATGAACAGTGCGTGTAAGGTGTTATATGAATGTTTGGATTGCAGAATCCAGGGAGAGGCTTTCTTCTCTCAATTGTCGATGTTTCAACTTACGCAGGTAAGTTGAAGTGCAACGTTTTTATATTATTTTTTTTATAAAATTTTTCTTTTGTATTTCAAACAGGTGGCGCACGGATGGGTGCCACAAGGAGTGTTAACAGGAGGGAATTTCAATCCTTCCCCGAGGTTTTGCGGGGTGTGCCAATTCACGGCACCGCTTTTGGTGATGAGGGTGGTCGTGTGGAGCACTATACTGGGGTCTTTTGTGGAGGTCCCAGTGGACTTCTTCCAGACTGTACAGCTGTGAACAACTGGTGTTCAATGTAATAGTTTAATAAAATTTTGATTTTTCGTGAGTCTGTGTTTTCTTTGTGTTAGAATTATTGTGTATGAAAACATGACATAAAAGGTAATGATTTAAAGTCGAAGTCTTATAGCTAATAACCTGGTATAGCTTAATAAACATAATAATTACATACTTAAATTTAATAAAAAGGGTTAGTGGATATAAATAAAGAGTTAAATTTTTAAAATTTTTGTTTTTGACCTTGTCATCCTGTTGGACTTCTTCGTAGAGGTTCGCTGGGGTTGGTTCGCCAGTAAAGATCTGATAACCATTATTGTCGATTCCATTAGGGTTTATGTAGCTGGAACTTATAGCGATAGCTTCGTTCTGTCCTGGGATTCGCCTAAAAGTTACTCTAGGTGCGGAGAGCCTGCTGTCAGAAATTGTATTATGACTATTAATTCATAGCAAATATTGACAGGAATTTCTGGAGAAGATATTTTTTATCCACCTCAGAGGTAGCCATCGGCATTTTCGGCAACAGCAAAGACAGGTTACCAAAATGAAGATAGTAAGTACAATTGATCCAGTTAAGGCATTATACCATTTTGAAGTATGATAGAGAAATGGTTGGTCGATTCTTCTCTGAAGCTTGTCGTTGATTTGATTTAATTTAGCATCAGCTTGATTGAGATCGTTTAGGTTTATATTTTCTAAACGAATTGGTTCCATGGGATCTACTTGCAATAAATCCTGTTTTATCTGCAGCAATCATCCAGAGTAATGTCAACTGATTGCAGCGGACTGGTGTAATTTGCAAATTGGTTGGACGAAGCATATAAGGTTATAGCTAAGGTATAGCATTTGCACTTGGATTTTAAGGTAAAAATCCCAATTCCATTTATGTTGACATCGCTGGTTTTAGTGTTAGAATCGCAGTATATTGTACCAATTGTGGGATTGGTGACTACAAATAACCATTGGTTGGTGCTTATAGGGTGCCAAATTTCGAAAGTGCCTTTACTGACTTTGGTATCACAATCCTTTGGAATGGTTTGCATCTGTTTAGTTTTCAATTCGACTTCGCAGATGGGTCTTTCCTTGATAAGGTATGTCGTGATCTTACTGCATATAAAATCGGAAGGTGGTACCTTCAAGCAGTTGGATAGGTCCTCCATTTGTCCATATGAGTTCTTCATAGGGCTCAATAGTAAGTAAGGAGAGGACGGGTTTATGAAGGAATAGACTGAGGAATTTGTTAGTTTTACAGGTAAAGGTATAAGGTTGTAGAGTGAAAATGTGCTTCTAATAACTAACGGAATTTTTATAGCGTAAATTAAAATTTTGTCTGAGTAAATTACTGATAAAGAGCATATTCCTAAATACTTATAAGCGTTTTCGAGTTTTTCATTTTCGAAAGGAAATTCCAGATTCGAGTTTAATTTGATTTTTAACAGTTCTTGTCTTAAGTGCGTAGGTGTGATTACACTAGGGTGAAGGATATTTTGTATTGAAAATAAAATTGCTGAAATAATTACGTCGAATTCTTCATTCAACTGGTTTGATAATAATGTCAATAAATTTAGTTCTCCATTAACAGTCTGTCTGTAAGTCAAGTCATTTATCCTTTTTGTTGCATAAGTTGCAAACTTATTAAATCTTCTAAAGTTTTCGTTAAAGATTCCTTGATTTTTAAGAAGGGCTTGTGCAGTTTCATTATAACCTTTAATCGCGTCGGATAAAATATGAACTTGTTGCTTCATTAATTTATGCATGTCGTCGGTTTGTTGTGACATAGAAGAAATTGCGTCCGTATAAAATTGTGCATCGTCCGAGTCGGGAATACCGAAAAGCCATTTTAATGCGTATGAAACTCCATTGATAAGACCTCGTTTCTGTCTTAAAATAATTTTATTATAACTAGTCAAGTGGCATATTGAATCATATTTATCCTCTTAAGTATTGAGATTTTTCTCAATTAAATCTAAAGTGCCTTCGCAAGTTACTTGAAAATCTCTATCGGTTTTATTACCTTCTCTTCGATAGAATAAACATAGAGGTATTGAAGATTGATACGTTCTGCGAATTAATTTAAGCTTTTCTTCAAAAATAGAAATATTAACGAATGATAAGAGAGTAAATTTGTCGTCGGAAAGTCGGGCTTGACCTAATTCGTGATAAAATATTCCTGAACGATCGAATAGATTAGTAATGTTATATTCGGGTTCGGATGGGTCATTTGTGGAACTTCTATTAATCTTGAGAAGTACAAGGAGTAATGCTAGCAGCATTGTCTGAAAAGAAAGGTTTCAGTAAATTATGGTGGTCCGTTGCTTACTTATTATTATTAAGTAATAACTTAACAGTTTGATTAGGATAAGTCGCAATTACCTCAAATGGACCTTTATAAAGGGCTGAAAATTGCTTATTTAATCCGGGCTTAAGGGCCTTATTTTGTACATATACAAAATCACCGGGTTTGAGACTATTTAAATTTAGCTTCTTATCGTAATGTTGTTTCGAATTTTGTTTAGATTTAATTATGTTTTCGCGGGCTAATTCGAAACTTTTATTTAATTTTAGTTTTAGAGTAGAAATCGTCATAAGTATATTTGAATTCAGGTTTTGATGTTAAAGAATTCCGAATAGAGGCTTTATGACCGTAGACCAATTCGAATGGAGTGAAATTTGTAGCTTTATGGATATGCGTGTTATACGTAAACATAGCCAATGAGACAAATTCGTCCCAATCATTTTGTTGAGAATTGATATAATGTTTTAGATATTCCTTTAACGTAAGATGAGAACTTTCCAATGCACCATTAGTTTGCGGGTGATAAGGGCTGGAAAGGATATGCTTGATTTTGAAAAGTTTATTCAAGTCCTTAATGACGTTTGAGGTAAAATCACTACCTTGGTCTGATAAGATGGTTTCGGGAATATCGAAAAGAGAAATAAATTGTAATAACTGTTCGGCTACAGTTCTGGCTTCGTGATTTGGGATAGGCATAGCATATGAAAATTTTGTTAGATCGTCTTGCATGGTAATAACGAATCTGTTACCCCTTTCCGTTATGGGAAAGGGTCCTACAATGTCAATAGCAAGTCTTCGGAATGGACGTTCGCTAGTTGTTGTTATCTCCATAGGAGCTTTAGGTGGGTGATGATTCAATTTATTAATTTGACATGATTCGCAAGTTTCAATTAATCTTTCAATATCGCTTTTCATATTAGGGCATTTATAATTCTCTTTAATTCTTCGGTAAGTACGAAGAAAACCTGAGTGACCTGAAACAGCTGAATCATGATTTTCTTTGAAAATTTGTTTAATTTCGTCACAGGTATTTGGTTTAAATCTAGGACGATTAACCAGAGTAATAGAAATTTTGTGTTTTGTAAACAAGTATTCCAGAAGATCGTTAAAAACGTCTTGTTTGATGTTAATATTATTCTCACACGGATTCTTTAAGAAAATATGAGATATCTTATTTTTCTTTAGGTCAGTCCTCAAATTTTGTAAAGAATAGAAGAGATCGTTGTAAGTTAATTTGTCGAAGTGATTAAGTTTAGAAATCAGTAAAAGCGTAAGTCTATCGTCGTTTTTTAAAGTTACAGAATCATAAAGATTTAATTCACTCAGATCTATTTTTGCTAAATCATAATTTAGGGAGAGATTTTCTGAACATGGATTATTTTCATCGAGATCTTTAGAATAGAAAATAGCGTTTGGAAATTTCTGAAAAATATTTTCCTCAATTATCTCAATATTTGGAACCTTTTGATTTTGGTAATGAAATTTCGTGAAGTCCGGGAATTATTCGCCTTCTTTTGTAGGGAAACAAGATTTTTCTATTTGTATCGTCATCATAGGTACAGGGTTTCTAGATAAAGCATCGACATTTGAGTATACTCTTCCAGGTTTGTATTTAATTTCGTAAGAGTATTCCTCTAACTTTAAACGCCATCGAACGAGTCGACTACTTGGATCTTTGCAATTGAAAAGCCAGGTTAGAGGGCGATGATCTGTGTAAATAACGAATTTTCTGCCATAGAGATATGAACGAAAATGTTTTTCTGCCCAAACAATAGCGAGAAGTTCCTCTTCAACAACAGAATAGTTGCATTCGGCTTTATTAAGAGTCCTTGATGCGTATAAGATAGGTAAATCTTCACCAATTTTTCCTTGAGATAAGATCGCTCCAACAGCGTAATTAGAAGCGTCTGTTGTAAGAATAAATTCTTTGGAGAAATCAGGGTATTGAAGAATTGGCTTTGTAGTTAAAATATTTTTGAAATAATCAAAGGAATTTTGATGTTCAGAAAATCATAAGAATGAAACATCTTTCTTTTGAAGATTTGTTAGTGGTTTTGTCAATTTTGAGAAATCTTTGATGAATCTTCGATAATAACCAATAAGACCTAAAAATTGCTTAATTTGTTTCGGAGTTTTTGGAATTGGGTATTCCTTTATTGATGAAATTTTATCGGGATTTGGTGAAACTCCTTTTTCACTAACGATATGACCTAAATAAGTAACTTCGGTGCGCATGAATTCGCACTTATCGGGTTGTAAGAGAAGTTTATTAGTTAGATCAATGTAATGGGCTATATGTAATAAATTATGGAATCCAATTTTTGTAATTTTTAATTTATATTCATTAAATAATAAATAAATTAAGTTTAGGATTAAGGATTAAGGTATTAAAATTGCAAAACTGTTTTAGAAAATTATGCTTCACATCTTTCTAACATAAGTAATTATAAAATTGAAAAAAAAAAAAGTCTTTGAAATACATTTTCTAACTTTTTGGAATGTTCTTCGATTGAACTAGCAAAAATGACGATGTCATCAAGGTATACGAAACATTGGAGTCCTTGAAGACCTGTAAGGGCGGCATTCATAAGCCTTTGGAAAGTACTACGGGCATTTTTTAATCCAAAAGGTATACGAACGTATTCGTAATGACCTGAAGGGGTTGAAAAGGCAGTTTTAAAAATGTCATTTTCGTAGATTTCAATTTGATGAAAACCCGAAGCTAAATCTAAAGTAGTGAAATACTTAGAATGACCAAGCTGGTCTAGAATCTCTTCGATACTAGGTAAGGGGAAAAATTCGGAAATTGTTACGTCATTGAGTTTCCTAAAATCGAGGACTATTCTCCATTTCCTTTCACCTGAAGCATCCAGTTTTTTGGGAACTATCCAAAGAGGAGAATTATGAGGAGAGACTGATTCTTGAATAGTGCCTTGCTGTAGCATTTTAGTTATTTGCTTTGTAACAGGCCAAAATTGCATAAATGATTCTTACCTACTTTCAATTTTATATTCAGGATTTCCTTGGATTTGTCAACATTTTCTCTGTAAGATTTCATCAATAATCTCAACGGTTGTAGATCCTTCAAATTTCATAATTTTCAATAGTCAAATTCTATTTGCTGTGATGGTTTTTCCTCATTTTAATCCATATTTTGGTTCAATTCTAAATCAAAGCAAAGCAATGTTTTGATTTCGATTTTAAATTCGATCATCTGTTTCATAACAACGTGGGTTGTGTTCCGTAATCATGATGACCCGTTTTCAAGTGGGTGTACCGTTCGTACTAACTGTTCCGGTTGTGGAGCGCTATCGATCTCGGCGCAAATTCGAGCGAACCCAGAGTCGCGCATCTTTGATTTCGTTTCTTTGACTTTTGATTGTCAAAAATTTCTGTCAACCAGCGGTAGATTAGTAATGTTTTCAGTATCGTCGATTCTTCTTTGAGCCCTCTAATTTTGAAAACGGAACATTTACTCTATTTTGTATTCTTCAAGTTTTGATTGTTTTATGGGATGATTATTTGTTGTTAATATCATAATTCATTAGCCGTTGTCGTTTTTCTCGGATTATGTTGTGGTGTGCAATTTTTGGTAAGTGAGAATTCTATCGATTAATTGTTGATGTTTGTCGTTATTCTGAATCATCTCTAAGTCCTTTAGGTGAGGTTAGCTTATTGATTGAATGTGCAGCACTTTCTCTTTCACGTTGACTGTTTTGGAAGAAACAAGTCCTCCAGAAGAATTAATTTTTTTTTCTTCACCTTAAAAAGGGATTTTGGGCCTGATTTTCTTCTGAATTGAATTTATGGCACACTGAGTTATCTTGCGTTGTGTTTTACTTTCGTAAAGTGCCATAATTTTCG